AAACTATTCTGCAATCTGTATTGACCTTAATGATAGCCTGCCTGCAGTAAGACTTCATGTGGACTCTATCCATGACCTGCAGAAACATGTTCACCGCCACTCGCTCCCTGAGCAGCAACAGGAAAAGTCATGTGACCAGGCATAAAACACTACATTAGAGATATAAAGAGTAAATGTTTGCTACAAGGAAGAAAGACTAAAGTGCTGGAGAGGACTGGATCTTACACATGGCCTTCAGACTGAGTGCTGGTGTGCCCTCGGCCTGGACAGCACAGCACCTCGAAAGCAGCCCGAATACCCAGACGCCTCCTGATTATAGACGTCTGAACTGACATCTAAACACACAGACCATAACATCAATAATTAAAGGAACAGTTCACCTAAAATCAACATTTACTGACCCTCATTTTGTCACAAACATGTATGACTTCACAAAACACAAGAGGAATTTTTGAAGAATTTTCACGCCACTCTTTTCCATACAATAATAATTATGGTATGCCTTAAAACCAATTGAAAAAACAGGGTCATATGGAAAACTTTTATTGTGCTAAACTTTTTTTATTTTTTTGTCATTTTTGGAGCTTGATGGGCTCTGATCAGTTCTGTTGTATGGAAAAGAGGAGCTTGGAAATGATAAAATACATTCTATGCTCCATGGGAAAAAAAACAGTCATATGAGTTTGGAAATAATAACAGAATATAGATTGCTGAACTATTCTTTTAGCAAAAAAGCACAAATTCCTAAAACAACGTCAAATGTAAGTCACATAACCGTCACTCACCAGTAAATATCCCCTGAACTGGTTATAAATAATAGCCGTCATTAGATTCATTAACAAATACGTCCCTAAAAGAAAAGAAAAAAAATTGTCAATGGTTAATGCAGGTGGAAAATTTTGAATGCAAGTAATATTAACTGCAGTGTGCGTGCGTGTAAATATACACTACGAGTCAAAAGTTTTTGAAAAGAAGTCTCTTATGCTCACCAAAGCTGCACTGAAAAAATACAGTAAAAAATTAAAATAAATTGCATAAAATTGAATGCAAATTTGATGCAATTTATTCCTGAGTTTTCAGCAGCCATTACTCAGACACATTTCTTCAGAAATAATTATTAGAGACTTCTTTTAGAAATATTGCAAAATCTTATATTATTCCAATGTTTTCACCAGTAGTTTATGTGTGTGTGTGTGTGTGATTGAATGCCATTAAAACTTACCAAACACACTAAAGAGAATAAAATATATAGAATAGCCACGGTTCAGAGAGTATGCTGGAATCATGACTGTTGAGAGAGGAAGACACGTTGACAGACACACAGATTACAAGAAAGGTTGTAGGCCATTTTAGGCAGTTTCACATTTAAGATACCTGTGAAAGTTTAACAGAACGTTGTGACAAGTCACAAGACATCATGTCATGTGGTTAAAGCCAATGACTCATAGCCTCCACTGCAATGAGCCAGAGATGACTGAGAATTCGACACAACGGTGCCAAAATGTCATCCGTCACTGACCATCTAAAACTTTACGGAGTCATCCAGAGATTTGCACCTCCTGACATTTACAGTCAAATGAAGACGTACCGTCAGGGTTATTGGCTGTCGTTAGCAGCACTAGCAGAGAAGACAGGGCCTTTGGCAGGTTTTTGAAGTAGGTTTCCCATTCTCCATTCTTCTTAGGGTCCTACAGAAACACATCTATTCAGTCAACTGTAGCAACTCACTTGGAATAAAAGTGTCTGCTAAATGATTCAGTGTAAAGATTGGATGGTATTTGTTCCTTTACTGGCCAGATGACAATTACAAATTGCACATTAAGATTAACTAAATAACTAATTAAAACTAAACTAAATTTATTTTAAAAACTACACTAATTTTATTAACTAAACTTTATTTGTAATTATCCAGTTTTACTAACAGCTTTACTCCGGCTGACCTTATTGCATATGCATTTGTAGCAGTTTCCCTTTCAGACGCAAAATTTATGGGAGGAGAGTAGGCCTATTTAAATGAATCATGCAACATGATTTACTAAGGTTTGCGTTAGTCAATTTACTGGTATTTGCACCACTCAAAAAAAGCATGTCTTAACCTATTTTGCACTTGACTTGGTTGCGACTGCTGCAGCCAGGAGGAAGCATTGCTTGGTAGAAGGGAGAGACTTTTTTTCCCCACTCTTATTAATTTATTTGGAATGCCAGAGGAAGATGTTATCCGTACATATTGTATGCCAAGCCATATAATTTTTTCATTTACTCCGCTTTTTTGCCACCTTAATTTGTGCTGATCTTGGTAGATTACGTTGTTCATTATGGAAATGAGATGTTGCATCTGTTCTTTAATTTACGCATTGTCAGTAAATCACCCGCAGAACTTTCCACTTCCATCTGCAGTGAATATTTTTGGAACTGTGCTCTCGCACTAATTTGTCTTGTTTGGTAAATCTGGCCCTTAGTACATTACTGAGGGTTTCTGTAGGTTTTATCAAGGTAAAATTAAGACTATTTAAGACCTTTTTAAAAACAAGTAAAGAAAATGTAAGGAATAAATTGAAGAGAATACAAGAATATGCCCAAGTCAATATGCTCTCTTAATGTAAATGTCTAGAGAGAACACGAGTTACCAAAAAAAAAAACACTTTTACTTTACTTCCTGATCACACTGCAAAAAAGCTGATTTTCTTCCACAGTAATTTTGTGCAAAATGTCTCTTAAGATACATTTACTTGAGGAGCAAATTGACATAAGAAGTCTGAAATTGATTAAAATTAAGCGAGTTTGATTAAAATATGAACAATATCTGCCAATGGGCTCAGAAAAATTCAACTTAATTCAAAGGAGAAAAAGTTTTCATACCCCACTGACAGATATTTGTTTTTGTTTTAAACATAAACTCACTCAATTTTGTTATATTTTTCAAGAACTTACATTTGCATGTAAATGTATCTTGATTTAAGCATGATTAGATATTTGTATTGGAAAACAAAAATATTTTCACTTTTACAATGTATGCAACATTTAATGCCATGACTTTATCAGTTTTAGACTTTCTGCTCTTATTTAAAAAGGCTTTTTTAAGACCCACACAAACCCTGATTACATTTTTACATTTTCTGAATACATTTTTAGTGGTGCTTGCCTGTGCAAAAAAATGCTGCCAGGATGCTAAAGTATTGTGGTTGGATGCTGTGTGGTTTCTGAGGTATTCAGCATGTAGCTATGTTATCCGTACATATTGTATGCCAAGCCATATAATTTTTTCATTTACTCCGCTTTTTTGCCACCTTAATTTGTGCTGATCTTGGTAGATTACGTTGTTCATTATGGAAATGAGATGTTGCATCTGTTCTTTAATTTACGCATTGTCAGTAAATCACCCGCAGAACTTTCCACTTCCATCTGCAGTGAATATTTTTGGAACTGTGCTCTCGCACTAATTTGTCTTGTTTGGTAAATCTGGCCCTTAGTACATTACTGAGGGTTTCTGTAGGTTTTATCAAGGTAAAATTAAGACTATTTAAGACCTTTTTAAAAACAAGTAAAGAAAATGTAAGGAATAAATTGAAGAGAATACAAGAATATGCCCAAGTCAATATGCTCTCTTAATGTAAATGTCTAGAGAGAACACGAGTTACCAAAAAAAAAAACACTTTTACTTTACTTCCTGATCACACTGCAAAAAAGCTGATTTTCTTCCACAGTAATTTTGTGCAAAATGTCTCTTAAGATACATTTACTTGAGGAGCAAATTGACATAAGAAGTCTGAAATTGATTAAAATTAAGCGAGTTTGATTAAAATATGAACAATATCTGCCAATGGGCTCAGAAAAATTCAACTTAATTCAAAGGAGAAAAAGTTTTCATACCCCACTGACAGATATTTGTTTTTGTTTTAAACATAAACTCACTCAATTTTGTTATATTTTTCAAGAACTTACATTTGCATGTAAATGTATCTTGATTTAAGCATGATTAGATATTTGTATTGGAAAACAAAAATATTTTCACTTTTACAATGTATGCAACATTTAATGCCATGACTTTATCAGTTTTAGACTTTCTGCTCTTATTTAAAAAGGCTTTTTTAAGACCCACACAAACCCTGATTACATTTTTACATTTTCTGAATACATTTTTAGTGGTGCTTGCCTGTGCAAAAAAATGCTGCCAGGATGCTAAAGTATTGTGGTTGGATGCTGTGTGGTTTCTGAGGTATTCAGCATGTAGCTATGTGGCTGCTTACTGGCCCATGTCAAAAGATCCCACATACAAGTCTCTATATTCTGATATCTAGATATGACTCTGGTTTCTCCATCAACAGAAGTCTTTAGGAGTTTTATTGTCTGCTCAGTAAAAATCTGATCTCTTGAACATCTCTCCTCAATAAGCAACACTAACGTATCATTCATGTCCAAAGCACAAATTGATGAGTATGAGTTATGTGGCAAAATGTAATACTTGGGGACAGGGGCTTGTTTAAATCAAAAAGTGGCACCATATAAGTATTGATAGAAATTATGTGATAAGGATGTGATCACTTCTTACATCTGATTTGGCAAAGATCAGCATTCCTATCATGGTGAATAAGCAGATGTGTAACGCCAGAAGCAGAATAACACTGAAACGGAAAGAGTGAAAAACAGAGAGAACCGATCCGGTCAATGTTTATCCGATCATTTTTAAATTATAATATTAGAATGGAACTGCACACAAATTGAGAAGTGAAAATAAGGAATTAAATGGAGGCTGTTATGGGGAAAAACCCTTATTACAGAAAATATGTTATTACCTTGCTATTTCAGGAAGAGTCCTTTTGATACATTTTAGAGTTTTCTTCATAAGGGAAGAGTTTTGCAAGAGGAAAAATGGGCGAATTAGTCTCCTGACTCTTAAACTCTGTGGGACAGAATGACAAGGAAGCATTACAATCAATGGACCTGATGCTAACAGCTGACTCAGACATTTACTTACTTAGGATTACTTGTCCAAAAATTTACATTTCATTTAATTTCCCTCAGGTCATATTTGATGTGCTTATGCAAATGAGATTTGCAAATGAGATTTGCAAAGTTCGTTTAGAATTACATTTTACTTGTATTTCTATGAATTATAAGCACATTTGTGACCCTGGACCACAAAACCAGTCATAAGGGTCAATTTTTCGAAATTTAGATTTATACATCACCTAGAATCTGAGGGTGCAAAAAAATCTAAATATTGAGAAAATCGCCTTTAAAGTTGTCCAAATTAAGTTCTTAGCAATGCATATTACCAATCAAAAATTAAGTTTTAATATATTTACAGTAGGAAATTTACCAAATATCTTCATGGAACATGATCTTTACTTAATATCCTTATAATTTTTAGCATAAAAGAAAAATCAATAATTTTGACACATACAATGTATTTTTGGCTATTGCTACAAATATACCCCAGCGACTTAAGACTGGTTTTGTGCTCCAGCAGGGTCACATTTTATTTTGCCAATAGTGTTGGGCAGATTACATGTGGGGACTTTCTATATTTAATTTAATGAAACTACATAAAAAGGTATATTTATGTCATATTGAATTAATTTAGTAATTTATTGTCACATTTAACTTAAAACTATTTCAATCTTCAGTTTAATGTAATGCGTTAATTGCCACTTCTTTGTAATTATTTGTGGAACTTACTAGCAATTTCGAGTGAAAACTTTCTACGCCAATTTGTTTTATAGTGTAAATATTGTCATATACTGTTATAGTGTAAAGAGGCATAATAAATAAGCAGCTTTGTAGTACAGTTCTTATAAACTCACCTCACTGCACATCATGCTAATACTCAACATCCAATCAATAACTGATGCTGCAATCACTACTATATAACCAATCAGCCACTTGTTCATACGAAACTCCTCCCATCCTATCAGATAACTCTGCAAAACACACAAAACATCCAATATGTTCTTTAATATAATATTAAGCAACTTAAGTCATATTACAAAAGAGGTCTGTTTAACTCTGTCATATGGGCTTGAATGACATTTAATGACATAATTTTCATTTTTTGAGTGAACTACCTGTTTAATGCTAACCCAATAGTCAACTGAATATTTCTGGATTTCTACCTTCACAGTGACATCTAGGATGAAGATACAAAGGCAGACTATCTCAATCCCCTCCGTCAGTCCACAGGGTGGCTCCCAAGGCTTGGGTTTGAAACGAATGTCCGAGGTGTAGGTCAGAGAGGAGGGTGTCTCAATGAAAGCCAGTCCCAGTACAACAGCAATAGTGAACCCCAGACCCCTTCAAGAGAAAGAGAGAGTGTGGAACTGATACTGACAGAGAGAAACATAAGCAAATGACCACATAAGTAGCTAGAGGGTACAGGTCAAAATAATTGCAGGAATGTTGCAGGTCCAGTTTTTTTTTTTTTTTTACCCCAAAAGTATTCCTGCTAACAGTTACTAATAAAGAACAAAGCATTAGAAAGCAGCCATCTGTAGACAGGTATCAAATTGACTAATGTTACTGCAGAGACTGTCTGGCATTGTGTATTTTAGCATGATACACAAACATACAGGGTTTTAAATTAACCTTTTCACTCACTAGGCAAATTAGGTTATTGGCCATTTAGAACTTCTAATAGCCAAAACAGAAATATTGCACATAAAGTGGATTATCAAAATCAGACACACAAAACAATCTCTGTGACAGCATTTAATTTTTAAATATAGCTCACTCCAAAATTAATGTTTAATGTTAAACAATGAAGATTAGTGGACAGGCTGTAATTTAAAAAAATTATCAGATGTTTCCTTACAAATGTCAACTTACTGAGAACTGAAGCCTTTCTTCCATTAAAGGGTTAGTTCACCCAAAAATTAGAATTCTGTCATTAATTAGCGTGTGGCGTGATGACATCATTACGCCGGATCTGGGTCAGCACCGCCACATGCTTGCGTCATGATACTGTCGCGAACGCGCGACAGTAGAGACGAAAATGTGGAATAAAGTTGTTATTTTTGTTTTCTTTGCGCAAAAATGTATTCTCGTAGCTTCGTAACTTTACAGTTGAACCAGTGATGTCACACGGACTACTTTGTCGATCATATCTTGGTACTTTTCTGGACCTTGAAGGTGGTAGTTACCTTGCTGTCTATGGGAGGGTCAGAGAGCCCTCAGATTTGATCAAAAATATCTTAAATTGTGTTCCGAAGATGAACGGAGGTCTTATGGGTTTGGAACAACACGAGGGTGAGTAATTAATGACAGCATGTTCATTTTTGAGTGAACTAACCCTTTAATATCCATTAAAAAATGCCAACCTGTTCTCACTCCCAAGGGGTCTGAAAATAATGCTCCAAAATATCATACCATGATAACAAAATTATACCCATGCATTTAATTTAACGAATGTAAAATTCTCATGCCCTTCGTATCAGTATATTGATGACAAATGTTTTTAAATATGACGCATTGCAATAAACACGCTAAAGGGTGCTTTGGCATCTGCATAATGACATGCAAAAGTCTTGGACATGCGGCATTTATCGGACCCCTAGGAACTGAGAACGGCTTGATAAGTGGCCTCTTGTCTGCAAGTGCTCTGGAAGACAGTAAACTGGTCACAAAAAAGCTGCTTGGATATAATTCTCTATATGAAGACTTTATTCAAGCCAAAAAAACATATTTATTCTTGAAAAATGCACAATCTAAATTTTGTTAATGTAATTCAATAGTAAACTTTGTGAGTGGCTCACTTTGTCATTGCAGGATATTTGTCTCGTCTCTTTTTGCTTTGTTTTGCTAATACTGGAGGCTGTTTTTATGGGAAGGGCTAGCGATGGTGTGTAAAATGATAGATTTACTAATCACATCCCACCAAACTGGCTAGTGAGTTGATATGTGTAACCCAGCATGGGTGATTTTCACCCACATTTGGCAGGTTTTCATTTCTATCCCTGCAAGGATACCGGAAAGGGACATGATGTAACTATAAGTGCTGTTTACATTCCACCCACAGGAACTATACTGGTAATGCATTATTACTGTAGAAGCTCTTCTACCTAGAACTGTAATCACACCACAAAAATGGACATGGACAACTTAATAGCTCCAAAAACGAACATTTTGTAATGTTGTGTAATGTAAAATGCAAGGAATATTTCTGCTTTTAAACCCTCTAGAATGTGAATTTTATTTGATTTTACAAATTAAGAGACAAGTCTAACCTTTCTGTGGTAATTGACAACATGTCTGATCCAATCCAACAACAAGGTTCTGTGAATAAAGCTTAAAGAACTATGAAATGGCTTTGTGATCTTAGTTTTCTTGTCTGTGTTAACGTACAGTATCCCCAATAACAGGACGTCGAGGCAGGGAATATTGAAGGGATTGTCCCAATTAGCTTTTTATCTTCCTTAATGGGACATATATCCAAGTAAAAAGGCTTCTTGAATGACAAATTGTGGGTGAGACTTGATGTTATCCACTGGAACTGTCTGGATCATAATAGTTTAATAGACCATAACAGTTTAATAGGTTTCCAAAAATAAATAAATAAATAAATTATATATATATATATATATATATATATATATATCTATCTATCTATCTAT